TAATAAGCCAAGTTTTCATGAATTAATGTTTTTTCGTCTACCTAACCTACCTAACCTAACCTAACCTAGCTTTTTTTGGCTACCTAACCTAACCTTACCTATATATATAGGTTAGGTTAGGTTAGGTAGGGTTGGTTAGGTTCGGTCATATATCTACGTTAATTTTAACTCCAATAAAAAAAAATTGACCTCATACATAGTCAAAAGGGTTGCTTTATCATTTCATAAGAAAAAATTATAGTAAATATATTAATTCAGGAAAACTTGGCTTATTAGGCAAATCGGGCCTTGAATAGTAGGCTGAGAAGTGAGTTCTGGCTACTAGGTACGACATATATATATATATATATATATATATATATATATGTCGTACCTAGTAGCCAGAACTCACTTCTCAGCCTACTATGCAAGGCCCGATTTGCCTAATAAGCCAAGTTTTCATGAATTAATGTTTTTTCGTCGACCTAACCTACCTAACCTAACCTAACCTAGCTTTTTTTGGCTACCTAACCTAACCTTACCTATATATATAGGTTAGGTTAGGTTAGGTAGGGTTGGTTAGGTCCGGTCATATATCTACGTTAATTTTAACTCCAATAAAAAAAATTGACCTCATACATAGATGAAAAGGGTAGCTTTATCATTTCATCAGAAAAAAATTATAGTAAATATATTAATTCAGGAAAACTTGGCTTATTAGGCAAATCGGGCCTTTCATAGTAGGCTGAGAAGTGCGTTCTGGCTACTAGGTACGACATATATATATATATATACATATATATATATATATATATATATATATATATATATATATATATATATATATATATATATATATATATATATATATATATATATATATATATATATATATATATATATATATATATATATATATATATATATATATATATATATATATATATATATATATAAATATATATATATATATATATATATATATATATATATATATATATATATATATATATATATATATATATGTCGTACCTAGTAGCCAGAACGCACTTCTCAGCCTACTATGAAAGGCCCGATTTGCCTAATAAGCCAAGTTTTACTGAATTAATATATTTTCTCTAATTTTTTTCTTATGAAATGATAAAGCTACCCATTTCATTATGTATGAGGTAAATGTTTTTTATTGGAGTTAAAATTAACGTAGATATATGACCGAACCTAACCAACCCTACCTAACCTAACCTAACCTATCTTTATAGGTTAGGTTAGGTTAGGTACCCGGAAAAGTTAGGTTAGGTTAGGTTAGGTAGGTTAGGTAGTCGAAAAACAATTAATTCATGAAAACTTGGCTTATTAGGCAAATCGGGCCTTGCATAGTAGGCTGAGAAGTGCGTTCTGGCTACTAGGTACGACATATATATATATATATATATATATATATATATATATATATATATATATATATATATATATATATATATATATATATATATATGTCGTACCTAGTAGCCAGAACGCACTTCTCAGCCTACTATGCAAGGCCGGATTTGCCTAATAAGCCAAGTTTTCATGAATTAATTATTTCTCGACTACCTAACCTACCTAACCTAACCTAACCTAACTTTTTCTGCTACCTAACCTAACCTAACCTATAAAGATAGGTTAGGTTAGGTTAAGTAGGGTTGGTTAGGTTCGGTCATATATCTACGTTAATTTTAACTCCAAAAAAAAAAATTAACCTCATACATAATGAAATGGATAGCTTTATCATTTCATAAGAAAAAAATTAGAGAAAATATATTAATTCAGGAAAACTTGGCTTATTAGGCAAATCGGGCCTTGCATAGTAGGCCAAAAGGTGTATTCTGGCTACTAGGTACGACATATATATATATATATATATATATATATATATATATATATATATATATATATATATATATATATATATAACTGAAAACGAGTCACAATGGGTTTGAGTCACTTCTGAGGTGTGATTTTTCAGTTGCATATAGTCCTGGGGACAATTCAGGCTTGTTCGCATTTGTGTTCCTGACGTGTGCCCTAAAGAATAAGGTGATTTGATAAAATGCTATGCCCAAGATTACCATCCGAGTGCCGGCGGGGAAGTGGTTAAAATAGCTTCGGCTATCACTTCCTTCTCTCCGGTCGTGGTGGTCAAGCAGATTAAGGTGTCCTGTACATACCAGTTGTGTTGCTCCTGGCAGTGTGGGTTCGAGTCACTCCTGGGGTGTGAGTTTTCAGTTGCATATAGTCCTGGGGACCATACAGGCTTGTTAGGCATTTGTGTTCCTCACGTGTGCCCCAAAGAATGAGGTGATTTGATAAAATGCTATGCCCAAGATTACCATCCGAGTGCCGGCGGGGAAGTGGTTCAAATAGCTTCGGCTATCACTTCCTTTTGCCTGGTCGTGATGGTCAAGCGGATTAAGGCGTCCTGTACATACCAGTTGCGTTGCTCCTGGCAGTATGGGTTCGAGTCACTTCTGAGGTGTGAGTTTTCAGTTGCATAGAGTCCTGGGGACCATTCAGGCTTGTTCATATATATATATATATATATATATATATATATATATATATATATATATATATATATATATATATATATATATATATATATATTTATTTATGTGTGTTGGGGGGGGGCGGAAAATCCACAGAAAAATGGGAAGGGAGATGAACGTTTCGGCCGATGAAGGCCGTTGTCAACACCAGACTAAGATAAAGGACACAAAGGGAGGGTGGAGGCCACCACTGGCACCTGACCACCCATCCCCTGGGAAAGAATTACCCAGAAACAGATATAGATTAGTTTAGAATGGTCAAAAGGATAAGTATAAAAGTTGAAAGAAAAACATATCAATTTTTTATAGTTATTTATTTAATTCCTTAAATAAATATTCAGAGTCTGTTATCCTAACTCAAGACTCCTACATTTACTCATATGCTTGAGAATCAGGTATGACAAGAAAGTGTAGACCTTTCAACACAACAGGGTTTCTTTTCTTAAAGAGCTAGAACTGTGTTTTTTGTTACAAAATACTCTATTTTGTCCTGGCAGGATTTATCGGCCACTCTTATTGTCACGTATTTTCTTTCAGTTTAAATATTTTATTTCAATAATGAAAGTGATCTCATTTATTATCAACTTAAAACATGTCCTTCCCTCCCAGCTACACTCTCTCGTTCTTCTGAGAGAATATATAACATCCTCATCCCTTAAAGTGCCGGGTCATACGTCCTCAGTCCACCCGTCCAAACACTTGCTTGTAGTGCTCAAAGCACAACAACCAAATGTTTACAGAATTCGCGTCAACGAAAGCACTTGTTTATGGTGTTCTTAGACGAGTATTAGCTTGTTTATTGTGTTCTTAGACGAGTATTAGCTTGTTTATTGTGTTCTTAGACGAGTATTAGCTTGTTTATTGTGTTCTTAGACGAGTATTAGCTTGTTTATTGTGTTCTTAGCAGAGATCTACATTTTTGTGTTAATTTCCAGCAATGTAGCGAATTGTGTATCAGATTTCTTGCAACAAAACCATTTGTTTATAGTGTTAACAGCAACGTGACTTTTTGTTTAGTGTCCAGAGGCAAACAAGCTCTTATTCACAGTCTTCCCAGCAACACAAGACAACTAAATTATAGGAACTAATGAAGCAGACTGCCAGTTCGCAATGACTGCAAGATAACTATCAATTTCCACTCGATACAGGGCCATTACCATATTGCTATAATTAAACAGCTTTGCCACCACTGCCATGTGGAATGTTACAGTATTCCCACACATCGTGTCATTCGTATTCTCCAAATATAGTATAGTCAAGAACTTGTAGTGTATGTACTTGACAATCTGGAGCTTGTGGTGACTTTACTACCCAATAATAAGCTTGTAGTGATTGCAATTCACAGTCAGGAGCTTCTAGTGATTGTACGACAAAATTGCAAGTTTGTGGCGTTTGTCGTACAAACCCACAAGCATGGAGATATTGTATTAGACAAGAGCGAGCATGTAATCAGATTAGTACATGATTACAAACTTGTAGTGAGAGTTCCCTTCAGTCACAAGCTTATACCATCGTAAGACACATCTTTGATAAATCTACACATCCTTCGTTTGCCTTTCCGAAGCTAATTTTCTCTTCAATTTACTAAACAATAACAATTGGGCATGGAAAGTGATAAAAAATATTTTAAAAGTGAAACAAAAATAGACGTGGATCACCTATGGAAAAAGTTATTCCACTAATGTTGTATGTACTTATTTCAGTAAATACGTAATAATTCAAGTTGTTCCTCTAGGAAACAGATAGACCATGAAAAGCCCACACGTATTGTACAAGGAGAGAAAAGTCACACACCGCAACACGAAAAGATGGAATTGATTCTACGTGTTTTGTTAATATTAGAAATTGTTGAAACTAGAAAGTTGAACCTCCATACTCTCAAATTTTATATAATTTCCAAGAAGTAGGTGATTGTACTCCCTGTAAACCCGACCCAACCCAGCGTTGTTTCGCTTTAATTGAATTATTACTGAAGAAAATAAGAGTGGATAACTCTAGTAAACATTAATAATAGAAATTAAATATGACTAACATTTCGGTTCGTCCTGGACAGTATAACTGCCGGTAAACTCGTCCGGGCTCGTGCCCTTGTGTGAAATACATATTTCAGTTCAAACAAAACTAATCTCAGATTGTCTGTGACTAAGAGTTACCTGTTTTTTGTTTTAAATCCAAAAAAAATATCATCGAACGTCAGTTTTGAGACAAAGCTTAATATTGGCCTGACGAGACTTGAAAACATATGAGGTACCGTATAAAATAATGCCGGCGATGAGTCACAATAACGTGGCTGAAGTATGTTGACCAGACCACACACTAGAAGGTGAAGGGACGACGACGTTTCGGTCCATCCTGGACCATTCCCAAGTCCAGGACGGACCGAATCGTCGTCGTCCCTTCACCTACTAGTGTGTGGTCTGGTCAACATAGAAAATAATGATTGCCATCGATTACAAAGGTGGACTTATCCGTGAGTATAGATGTCACCTTGGTACACTTTCACCCTATTGTGGTCGGCAACGTTTTCTCGAGCATGTTGTTAAGGGGGCCAAGCACCAGACGATCAGCGTAAGGAGGTGCTTCCCGAGGATCGATGCCTTGTGCTCCCGACACGGCACCTTCCACTTCGTCTAATGTGCTATTGTGCAAGACGTTTCACATTTAGAGACGTTGTGAAGGAACCTCAGCTTTCATGATGGGAGCCGGTCGGCCGAGCGGACAGCACGCTGGACTTGTGGTCCCGGGTTCGATCCCGGGCGCCGGCGAGAAACAATGGGCAGAGTTTCTTTCACCCTATGCCCCTGTTACCTAGCACTAAAATAGGTACCTGGGTGTTAGTCAGCTGTCACGGGCTGCTTCCTGGGGGGTGCAGGCCTGGTCGAGGACGGGCCGAGGGGACACTAAAAAAGCCCCGAAATCATCTCAAGATAACTAACTAACTTCACCCCGGAGTTCACGACGGACTGATGACTCTCACTTAAGATTGTGAAGCCTCTACTAGCACTCGAGAGCCAGCTTCTAGTGCTCGAGAGCCAGCTGCTAGCGCTCGAGAGCCAGCTTCTAGGGCTCGAGAGCAAGCTTCTAGTGCTCGAGAGCCAGCTGCTAGCGCTCGAGAGCCAGCTGCTAACGCTCGAGAGCCAGCTGCTAGTGCTCGAGAGCCAGCTGCTAGTGCTCAAGAGCCAGCTGCTAGCGCTCGAGAGCCAGCTGCTAGCGCTCGAGAGTCAGCTGCTAGCGCTCGAGAGCCAGCTGCTAACGCTCGAGATCCAGCTGCTAGCGCTCGAGAGCCAGTTGCTAACACTCGAGAGCCAGCTACTAGCGCTCGAGAGTCAGCTGCTAGCGCTCGAGAGCCAGCTGCTAACGCTCGAGATCCAGCTGCTAGCGCTCGAGAGCCAGCTGCTAACGCTCAAGAACCAGCTGCTAGTGCTCGAGAGCCAGCTGCTAGTGCTCGAGAGCCAGTTGCTAGCGCTCGAGAGCCAGCTACTAACGCTCGAGAGCCAGCTGCTAACGCTCGAGAACCAGCTGCTAGTGCTCGAAAGCCAGCTGCTAGTGCTCGTGAGCCAGCTGCTAGCGCTCGAGAGTCAGCTGCTAGCGCTCGAGAGCCAGCTGCTAACGCTCGAGATCCAGCTGCTAGCGCTCGAGAGCCAGCTGCTAACACTCGAGAGCCAGCTACTAGCGCTCGAGAGTCAGCTGCTAGCGCTCGAGAGCCAGCTGCTAACGCTCGAGATCCAGCTGCTAGCGCTCGAGAGCCAGCTGCTAACGCTCAAGAACCAGCTGCTAGTGCTCGAGAGCCAGTTGCTAGCGCTCGAGAGCCAGCTACTAACGCTCGAGAGCCAGCTGCTAACGCTCAAGAACCAGCTGCTAGTGCTCGAGAGCCAGCTGCTAATGCTCGATAGCCAGCTGCTAGCGCTCGAGAGTCAGCTGCTAGCGCTCGACAGCCAGCTGCTAACGTTCGAGATCCAGTTGCTAGCGCTCGAGAGCCAGCTGCTAACACTTGAGAACCAGCTTCTAGCGCTCGAGAGCCAGCTGCTAGCGCTCGAGAGCCAGCTGCTAACACTCGAGAGCCAGCTGCTAGCGCTCGAGAGTCAGCTGCTAGCGCTCGAGAGCCAGCTGCTAACGCTCGAGAGCCAGCTGCTAGCGCTCGAGAGTCAGCTGCTAGCGCTCGAGAGCCAGCTGCTAACGCTCGAGATCCAGCTGCTAGCGCTCGAGAGCCAGCTGCTAACACTCGAGAGCCAGCTGCTAGCGCTAAAGAGCCAGCTGCTAGCGCTCGAGAGCCAGCTGCTAACGCTCGAGAGCCAGCTGCTAGCGCTCGAGAGCCAGCTGCTAACACTCGAGAGCCAGCTGCTAACGCTCGAGATCCAGCTGCTAGCGCTCGAGAGCCAGCTGCTAGCACTCGAGAGCCAGCTGCTAGCGCTCGAGAGCCAGCTGCTAGCGCTCGAGAGCCAGCTGCTAACGCTCGAGAGCCAGCTGCTAGTGCTCGAGAGCCAGCTGCTAGTACTCGAGAGCCAGCTGCTAACGCTCAAGAACCAGCTGCTAGTGCTCGAGAGCCAGCTGCTAGCGCTCGAGAGCCAGCTGCTAGCGCTCGAGAGCCAGCTGCTAACACTCGAGAGCCAGCTGCTCAACCAACGGGAAAGGTTATGACTTTCCTTAAAAGACAAAAATAACGTCGGAGGAGCCGAGTGCCCTGATAGGGTGTCTAGGGTAATTTAGTAGAATGTTGACCAAATGAGTGCTTGTAAGTTTAGCCGAGCAAGCAACGGTATAGAGAAACTATACTGCAGCTTTAATTACTGAAGCATTTCTGATTAAACTGGAAACATTTGCACAAGAGAGTTTAACTTTTTTTGCGAGACTTGTAAATTAAATTAGTTTTTACAAGAGTTATCGCTTCATAGCCTCCGGGGGATTTAGAATTCAAGTCGTTTAGGTCTGGTCATGGCGTCCTTGGCTCCCCTGGCAGCCGCCTGCCACCAGGGACCAGACTCACGAAGCAGTTAAGCAAGTACTTACGAACCTGTACATCTTTTCTCAAACTTCGGCGGCTTTGTTTACATTTATTAAACAGTTTACAAGTATGAAAACTTCCCAATCAACTGTTGTTATTGTTATAAACAGCCTCCTGGTGATTCAGAGCTCATAAACTGTCTAATAATTGTAAACCAAGCCGTCAAAGATCGAAAAAAGATGTACACGTTCGTAAGTACTTGCGTAACTGCTTCGTGAATCTGCCACCAGGTGCGGAGGGAGGTGATGCGATAGAGCCGAGTCTGACTAACCTCTTCGTCGTAACGTAACGAGCTTGTTATGACCTATATGTAATTTATGTAAAATATAATTCCATTATATTTGTTATTGTAAATATTTAGATCGCATTCTCTTGCGAGCTACATGAGAGACACATAGCGTGATGATCAGTTTATAAAACGCGTTTGTTTACATTAGAAAGTGTCGAGTGTCATTGTGGTGGCAGCGTATTGTCCAGAGAGGCAGCGTATTGTCCAGAGAGGCAGCGTATTGTCCAGAGAGGCAGCGTATTGTCCAGAGAGGCAGCGTATTGTCCAGAGAGGCAGCGTATTGACCAGAGAGGCAGCGTATTGTCCAGAGAGGCAGCGTATTGACCAGAGAGGCAGCGTATTGACCAGAAAGGCAGCGTATTGACCAGAGAGGCAGCGTATTGACCAGAGAGGCAGCGTATTGTCCAGAGAGGCAGCGTATTGTCCAGAGAGGCAGCGTATTGACCAGAGAGGCAGCGTATTGTCCAGAGAGGCAGCATATTGACCAGAGAGGCAGCGTATTGACCAGAGAGGCAGCGTATTGACCAGAGAGGCAGCGTATTGTCCAGAGAGGCAGCGTATTGTCCAGAGAGGCAGCGTATTGTCCAGAGAGGCAGCGTATTGACCAGAGAGGCAGCGTATTGTCCAGAGAGGCAGGGTATAGTCCAGAGAGGCAGCATATTGTCCAGAGAGGCAGCGTATTGACCAGAGAGGCAGCATATAGTGCAGAGAGGCAGCGTATTGTCCAGAGAGGCAGCGTATTGTCCAGAGAGGCAGCGTATAGTCCAGAGAGGCAGCGTATTGTCCAGAGAGGCAGCGTATTGTCCAGAGAGGCAGTGTATAGTCCAGAGAGGCAGCGTATTGTCCAGAGAGGCAGCGTATTGTCCAGAGAGGCAGCATATAGTCCAGAGAGGCAGCGTATTGTCCAGAGAGGCAGCATATTGTCCAGAGAGGCAGCGTATTGTCCAGAGAGGCAGCATATTGTCCAGAGAGGCAGCGTATTGTCCAGAGAGGCAGCGTATTGTCCAGAGAGGCAGCGTATTGTCCAGAGAGGCAGCGTATTGTCAAGAGAGGCAGTGTATAGTCCAGAGAGGCAGCGTATTGTCCAGAGAGGCAGTACTGTAGGTACCAGAGTTGGCCTCACCATAAGGAGACCATCTCCTCCCCTTGAGGATGGGACTACAAGTGGCCTGTACCGTAATATGATAAGGGAGACCAAGTTATTATTGTCCTCTCATTTTTACAATAATAACAATGCTTGATTAAGTTTGTCGCATATTACATCTAACTCAAATAACTGATTTATCATAATTATTGTTATTCTTGCTGAAAATTTAACATTCTTGTACAGCATTTACAATAATATTTTTAATCTTGTATTATTTGCATTAAGTATTTTACGTCGGTTTGTTATTTTGTGATCAATTTTGAAAAAAATACCCATTTTTTACTTAATGCATTGGCATTGTTTATTGTATATCATTGACATTAGTGCATATTTACTATGAAAACTGCTACACAGTTTATTTTCAGTCAGAGAGTACAGTAGTAGCACAGTCAGAGAGTACAGTAGTAGCACAGTCAGAGAGTACAGTAGTAGCACAGTCAGAGAGTACAGTAGTAGCACAGTCAGAGAGTACAGTAGTAGCACAGTCAGAGAGTACAGTAGTAGCACAGTCAGAGAGTACAGTAGTAGCACAGTCAGAGAGTACAGTAGTAGCACAGTCAGAGAGTACAGTAGTAGCACAGTCAGAGAGTACAGTAGTAGCACAGTCAGAGAGTACAGTAGTAGCACAGTCAGAGAGTACAGTAGTAGCACAGTCAGAGAGTACAGTAGTAGCACAGTCAGAGAGTACAGTAGTAGCACAGTCAGAGAGTACAGTAGTAGCACAGTCAGAGAGTACAGTAGTAGCACAGTCAGAGAGTACAGTAGTAGCACAGTCAGAGAGTACAGTAGTAGCACAGTCAGAGAGTACAGTAGTAGCACAGTCAGAGAGTACAGTAGTAGCACAGTCAGAGAGTACAGTAGTAGCACAGTCAGAGAGTACAGTAGTAGCACAGTCAGAGAGTACAGTAGTAGCACAGTCAGAGAGTACAGTAGTAGCACAGTCAGAGAGTACAGTAGTAGCACAGTCAGAGAGTACAGTAGTAGCACAGTCAGAGAGTACAGTAGTAGCACAGTCAGAGAGTACAGTAGTAGCACAGTCAGAGAGTACAGTAGTAGCACAGTCAGAGAGTACAGTAGTAGCACAGTCAGAGAGTACAGTAGTAGCACAGTCAGAGAGTACAGTAGTAGCACAGTCAGAGAGTACAGTAGTAGCACAGTCAGAGAGTACAGTAGTAGCACAGTCAGAGAGTACAGTAGTAGCACAGTCAGAGAGTACAGTAGTAGCACAGTCAGAGAGTACAGTAGTAGCACAGTCAGAGAGTACAGTAGTAGCACAGTCAGAGAGTACAGTAGTAGCACAGTCAGAGAGTACAGTAGTAGCACAGTCAGAGAGTACAGTAGTAGCACAGTCAGAGAGTACAGTAGTAGCACAGTCAGAGAGTACAGTAGTAGCACAGTCAGAGAGTACAGTAGTAGCACAGTCAGAGAGTACAGTAGTAGCACAGTCAGAGAGTACAGTAGTAGCACAGTCAGAGAGTACAGTAGTAGCACAGTCAGAGAGTACAGTAGTAGCACAGTCAGAGAGTACAGTAGTAGCACAGTCAGAGAGTACAGTAGTAGCACAGTCAGAGAGTACAGTAGTAGCACAGTCAGAGAGTACAGTAGTAGCACAGTCAGAGAGTACAGTAGTAGCACAGTCAGAGAGTACAGTAGTAGCACAGTCAGAGAGTACAGTAGTAGCACAGTCAGAGAGTACAGTAGTAGCACAGTCAGAGAGTACAGTAGTAGCACAGTCAGAGAGTACAGTAGTAGCACAGTCAGAGAGTACAGTAGTAGCACAGTCAGAGAGTACAGTAGTAGCACAGTCAGAGAGTACAGTAGTAGCACAGTCAGAGAGTACAGTAGTAGCACAGTCAGAGAGTACAGTAGTAGCACAGTCAGAGAGTACAGTAGTAGCACAGTCAGAGAGTACAGTAGTAGCACAGTCAGAGAGTACAGTAGTAGCACAGTCAGAGAGTACAGTAGTAGCACAGTCAGAGAGTACAGTAGTAGCACAGTCAGAGAGTACAGTAGTAGCACAGTCAGAGAGTACAGTAGTAGCACAGTCAGAGAGTACAGTAGTAGCACAGTCAGAGAGTACAGTAGTAGCACAGTCAGAGAGTACAGTAGTAGCACAGTCAGAGAGTACAGTAGTAGCACAGTCAGAGAGTACAGTAGTAGCACAGTCAGAGAGTACAGTAGTAGCACAGTCAGAGAGTACAGTAGTAGCACAGTCAGAGAGTACAGTAGTAGCACAGTCAGAGAGTACAGTAGTAGCACAGTCAGAGAGTACAGTAGTAGCACAGTCAGAGAGTACAGTAGTAGCACAGTCAGAGAGTACAGTAGTAGCACAGTCAGAGAGTACAGTAGTAGCACAGTCAGAGAGTACAGTAGTAGCACAGTCAGAGAGTACAGTAGTAGCACAGTCAGAGAGTACAGTAGTAGCACAGTCAGAGAGTACAGTAGTAGCACAGTCAGAGAGTACAGTAGTAGCACAGTCAGAGAGTACAGTAGTAGCACAGTCAGAGAGTACAGTAGTAGCACAGTCAGAGAGTACAGTAGTAGCACAGTCAGAGAGTACAGTAGTAGCACAGTTGTAGTTTAACATTTGCTGAACCTTTAAAATATTTAATAATAAAATATTTTACCTTACATACAATTTTTGTTTAATTTAACTGAGATGGCATTATTCCAAGAGCAGATGTTAGGGAATCACACCTTTACTCAAGGCCTTCCCTCGTTACGGTACTGGATATCGAACCCACACAAAGCGAACTATTGTTTCCGGGAGTTTTACCAGCCAGGCAGGTAAGCGTTAACGAGCTTCCCGAGTCAATTTGGAGGAGAGAGTGCGAGGGAGATAAGAGAAGGAAAAAAAAGAGATAGGGGGAAGAGTGTGTTGGAGAGAAGAGACCAACGCCATCACACCAAGTGCTGGGTTAACTGTTCGATGTGGCGGGGTTTAGATCATCATAATTTACCTCTAGAGCTCGGTGGTAGACAGCCCTGTCCGCTACTAACTCTGGTGGTAGGCAGCCCTGTCCGCTACTAACTCTGGTGGTAGGCAGCCCTGTCCGCTACTAACTCTGGTGGTAGGCAGCCCTGTCCGCTACTAACTCTGGTGGTAGGCAGCCCTGTCCGCTACTAACTCTGGTGGTAGACAGCCCTGTCCGCTACTAACTCTGGTGGTAGGCAGCCCTGTCCGCTACTAACT